AATTCTCAATTGTACAAATTCTCAAATTTCTAAATTCTCCAATTCCCAAATTCTCAAATTCTCAAATTCTTAAATTTTCAATTGTACAAATTCTCAAAATCCCAAAGTTTCAAATTCTCAAATTCTCAAATTCTCAAATTCTCAAATTCTCAAATTTCTAAATTCTCAAATTCCTAAATTCTCAAATTCCTAAATTTTCAAATTCCTAAATTCTCAAATTCTAAAATTCTCAAATTCCTAAATTCTCAAATTCCTAAATTCTCAAATTCCCAGATTCCTATAAGACAAAATTACAAAACTGCCAAATCCCTGTAAGCTAAAATTGCCCCAATCCCCAATTCCCACATTCCCCAATTCCCACATTCCCCAATTCCAATTCCCAAATTCCTAAATTCTCCAATTCCCAAATTCTCTAATTTTTAAATTCTCAAATCCTCAAATTCTCAAAATTTCAAGTTCTTAATCTTGTAAATCTACAAAGTCCCAAATTTAACAAATTCAAAAAACTCAAAGTCCGAAATCTCTTAAGTTCTAAAACTTAGAAATTCTAAAATCTTCAAATAGTAAATACCCTAAGTTCCAAATGTCACAAATTTCAAAATTAATAAATTGTACACTCTATTACACCATTTTTTCATTCATTTGCATTTTATGAATTATCTATGTATGAATTTCTAATTCAAGAATTTCATAGAAATGAAAAGAGAACTGAACTTTATTAAATTGTTATAACAAATGTTTTTACTTATTCAACCTAATTTCAGCCAAGAATAAATCCTAAAAACACCACTGTATACATACACAAACAATGATTTCCCAGGAAAATAATGTCATTGACCAAACAACAATACTATTTACCAAAATAAACATAGAATTATTTAGTTCGTTAAAAGAGAAACCAGGACACGAACGCTTATAATCACGGATCTACCGAGGTCTCTAGGAAGGATCTTAGACTTGAAAGGTCTTTTCATTGATGAGTGTGTCCTTGTTGATCTCAATGTTCTTAAACAATTCAACAAGGCCCGATCTTCCTAATAAATTCTGTGTCTAATTTTCTTCACGTTTTGTCGAAGTTCTCGAGACAATAGTACGTTCCTTATCAGAATATCAAAACTTTTAATCAATTCATTAAGAATTAAACGATTAAATTATGAACGACAATTATATTAATTTTAATAGAGAATACAAATTGTAATTGTTAATTTAATAATTTTTTAAATAAATTTTAATTCTTAAAATTGAAATTAAAATTAAAATTAAAATTGATAACGATATTGATACTGATATTGATATTGGTTATTGATATTGGTTGTTGATATTGGTTATTGATATGGGTTATTGATATTGGTTATTGACATTGGTTATTGATGTTGTTTATTGATATTGGTTGTTGATATTGGTTATTGATATTGGTTATTGATATTGGTTGTTGATATTGGTTATTGATATTGGTTGTTGATGTTGGTTATTGATATTGGTTGTTGATGTTGGTTATTAATGTTGGTTATTGATATTCGTTATTGATATTGGTTATTGATATTGGTTATTGATATTGGTTATTGATATTGGTTATTGATATTGGTTGTTGATGTTGGTTATTGATATTGGTTGTTGATGTTGGTTATTAATGTTGGTTATTGATATTGGTTATTGATATTGATATTAAAATTAGAATTAAAATTAAAATTAAAACTAAAATTATTCACTGTTTTTCAATTGAAGTTCAAATTATAATATGTACTACGATTTATCAAAATGTTAGATATTATTAATACAATCTTCAATTTGAAATTAAATTAAAATTTTAATATTAAGTTCTGTGAAATTGAAATAAGAAATAAATTCTAAACTTTGATTAAACGTAGTGAATTAAAAATTGAAGTCCTATTCACATTTACAGAAAAAGTTATGATTAACGATTGAAAATTATTCATTGATTGAAAATGTTCTCAAATTAACTTAAACTTTTACTTTCTAATTTGAAATAAATATTAAGTTCGAATTATAAATTAAACTACAATTTTTTATTGTGGAGTTATTTAACTAGAAATCAAATTTTAAATACTAAGTAGAAAATTCAGTTACCTGTTCCAATTTAATTGTTTAAACATTTAATTGTTTCGTTAAAAATTAAAGTCTGAAAAAGCATGGCTTTTGATATTATTAAAATTAACAAACTCAAAGGAACATTATTTTTCTCTACATTTGTTCTAATCACATATTGCCAAACATTTAAATTGGTAAATGTGATTTTTTCTTTAATTTCTTTTCATGTAAGTAAATTATAACTACATTTAATTATATGTATAAGTATATATAATCAAAAAGGGCACTTTTTGAGAAACATTCATATTCATAAGAGTTCGTTTCGTTTTGTAATGAAATTAACAGTGGGATGAAGAGTAACGTCAATAACTAGTCTTCGACATTGATTGATTGTTATACCACCATCATGCAAAGTGATGGATGAAAGTGAAATAGCGTGTGTTAGCTATTCCGATCAATCGTAACTGGAAATAAGTGCCCCGAGCTATTCGCCAAACATTCTATTCGCCTCAAGCGAACTTATGTTACCACATTTACTATACATACATTGTTATTCATCGTTTCATACGTAAAATCAACATAGTCAATTTGACACAAAATTAGTTGCTATTTTTTATTATTTTTTGGATTCTAACCTGAGTTTATTATAATCATAAGGTTTGGTCCTTCTTGCTGTGATTTTTGATGATCTGGAAATTTAGCATTTTGGATATTTCAAAATTTGGAAATATGAGAATTGATAAATTTGAAATTTAAAAATTTGAGGATTTGAGAATTTGAAAAATTATACATTTGGAAATTTGGAAATTTGAGAATTTGGGAATTTGGGAATTTGAGAATCTGAAAATTTGAAAATTTTAGAATTTGGAAATTTGGAAAATTATACATTTGGAAATTTGGGAATTTGAGAATTTGGAAATTTGAAATTTTAGATATTTGAAAATGTAAAGATTTGAGAATTGCTAAATTTGAAATTTGAAAATGTTGTAATCTGAAGAATTAGAATTTTGAGAATTTGAGCATTTGAAAACTTTATGATAAACGAATTAATAACTTAGTGGATTTGGTAATTTGAAAATTTGAGAATTTATAAAATTATAAATTTGAAAATTTGAAATCTAAGAATTTATAAATTTGAAATGCGAAAAGTTCGTCAATCTAAGAATTTGAAATTGTGCAAATTTGAGATCATACAAATTATGGAATTAATGAATTAGTGCATTTAGTCATTTGCAAATTTCATATCAGCCATATTATAGTCTCACTAACAAGGAAGGGCACGCAAGTGTCCCCCTCCGATTTTGATGAAACTTCGTAGGTTTGTTAAGCAGGCAAAAATAACGGACACGTATTTTTTTTTAACGGCTGAGACGCGGGTTTAAGGAGTGAAACGAGCCCTTAAAGTTTCGACCCCTTTTGGCTATCTCGAAAACCATACGAGATACATTAAAACTCCTAATAGAAAAGTTGTATGGTTTCTTACGTACAATAACAGGATGTTAACGAATTTTGCAAAATACAATTTGTTTATAACAAAAAAATTTTTCATAATCTTATTTTACAATTTATTCAAATTTGTATAATGACAAGAAGTGTAGAGAATTTTATTACAAATCCATTGGTATATATATATACGATATTGCCTCCTACAATTCCTCAGATTTTTATTATAAACATTACGCGTGCACGCTCGCGACGCGCCGCACGATACTAAATCGGATCATATCGGACGATATTACACTACCAGCCAACGTCATTTTTAAGCATAAATAAAAAACAATTATATTTGCGTTATACATAACTGTTAATTTTATTAAATTTGTATTACAAAACATTTATTGTTAAAGTACATAGGTATTTTATGTATATGTCAGTTTTAAAGGTAACGAATAGTTTGATTCAAATTTTTATGAAAATAGTTTGATGAAAAATTTTTGTGTTATAAACAAATTGTATTTTGCAAAATCCGTTAACATCCTGTTATTATACGCAAGAAACCATACAACTTTTCTATTAGAAGTTTTAATGTATCTCGTATGGTTTTCGAGATAGCCAAAAGGGGTTGAAACTTCAAGGGCTCGTTTCACCCCTTAAACCCGCGTCTCAGCCGATAAAAAAAAATACGTGTCCCTTATTTTTGCCTGCTTAACAAACCTACGAAGTTTCATCAAAATCGGAGGGTGACACTTGCGTGTCTTTCCTTGTAAGTATAACCATAATCTTTTGCGTATAACATTTATTTTATATTATATATTCAAACATTATTTTATATTTATTTTACAATTTAATATTGATTACATTGTAATATACCTAAAAGTACATTATTAAAACGGAAGTGAATACATTTTATTTAAGAAATCATTCTACACTTTAATCATTAAATTTGCATAAAGACATATTTTTCTTTACTTCTTATTTAATAATTACATATAAACCGTGAGGATGTTTATTTAATTTTTAATTTTGTAATTAATAGATCTACCACCTGTAAAACGAATCATAAACGTAGATATACTAGAACCTTCTAGAGGTCACTCGAGAGGGTGACCTTGACACATACACAACGTCAAGGTTATTGCAGATCTCTTAAAGCAATGTTACCCTTTGCTCTAAAACATTTAAAAACTTGAGACAGTAAAAAATTACTTAAAGAATTACATAAATTTTCAATGAATTATATTAACGTATGAATACCTCCATTTTAATACCAAATATACATAAAAAATAAGAAAAATGTTAAATCTCAGAAGACCACGAAAACCAGATTATTTTAATCTAGTTATTTACTTTGAAATTTCTTATACAATTATATAATACATTACGCATTTATAATACACATAATACCAGTATAAATATTGACCTAACCTAACCTGCAATAATCAGTTATTTCAAAGACTATTTTATTACAAATTAGAATAAAAATATTTAAATATATATTGAAACATACTTACAACAGACCTAATAATCCCAGATCCATGATACAATTAACAAATTTTAATGGTCGCTGAATTTCTAAAAGAGTAAAGATTACATTTTGTTCTTTTCGTTGCAATTTTACTCTTTCAAAATTGTAATGTGTCCCAGTTGCTTGGGACACCCTGTATAGTTTTCCAGGGCTCGCGACGATTTCCCGCCACTGAGGGCGGCAATTCCCTGAGGCGATTCTTGGTTGTTCGTCGTCTTATTCTACTCACTGGAGACGGGAGCAAAACGCGAACTGGGTCAGGGCAGCGCACCAAATGGTTGGATCAATTTTATTTTAAATTTATCAAGTCCGCTTCGGCTCCATGGACACGTGTGATCAGCTCAGATTTGCAGACGGTGCATACCGATTAAAATGGCACCTTGACTGTGTAAAATACTTCGTTTATTCTTATTTCTTACGTAAACAAACAATCCATCATTATTCGTAACATCTTTTGGTATTTTTGCATAATTCTGTATAAAACACGTGTATATAAAAAGTATTGAAAATGTTATATAGGTCAGAGATATCCAAAGTCTCGACACACTGGTGGAGCTAATTTTGTATGAACTGCATTAAACATTAAAATTTAATAGCGGTAATGGAAAACTTATCTTTACCGAGAAATCGGTAAAGAGAAATGTGTACATATAAAGTAACACTTGAGACTAAAATTCTGGGACTTTATTATTTCAGACTTTTAATTTTTGAAACTTTGGATTTTTCAAAAATAGAAACTTAAAAATTTTTGAATCACTGGACTTTGATAGAGTACTACAAAATGCATTATAAGAGACTATTAATGAAACATCACCCTTTTAGAAAGTAGATCTGAGCTCATAGGTTTGAGAAGCTTTGATAGTTTATAGAAATAAAGTGAATCTGAACATAAAGATCAATGTAACAATTATGTAACTGCAGCAATTGATTCTCCTTAATAAAGCTCAACTAAAAGTACTGTTTCACCGCTATATTAAACCGATTTGTAAAAGGAAATCGTGTAATTATATCACACTCAGGACAAGGCCTGATGTCCTTCTTTTTTTTATCTAAGAAACATTGTAGTTTTCAAACAAATTGTTGATATAACCTTTTTTTTTCATTTTAAGTCATCCTTGCTAAACACATTCCTTATTTTGTAACAATAATAATAATTAATATTTGTAACAATTGTAATAATAAGTTTTGTAACAATTAATATAATGAAAAATGCTAGAAATAATTATATGAAGTTATTGCCTTTTTAATTGACTCAAATGTTACCATATTTCTATATAGATAAAATAATTATTTTCTTGCTTTTATTTCTTATTATGTAAAAGAAGGACATAAGTATAAATAAAACAAAATAACAGGTAGAGAACCACTGAAACCGTGTGAGTCAGACAGAGTAAGGTCCAGTATAAGGCCCTGGGGTGATTCGCCTAGACGGCCATGACCATATTACAGGCCAGAGGCCCCCAGTTCTAACCAGTAAACTTACTTCCAGTAACAATTGGCGAAATCATTACCGGCAATTCGCTTACCATAATAAAAGGTAAAAGTTACATACATCCCTGTTTATGTATTTACACTTTCCTGTGGCTATGATATCATATTATTAAAATATTTCTTACAACAAACATACTTTTGCTGCGCATTTTAATTATTAAAAATAATACTTGCATTTTAAAAACTTAACCGCATATTCTTTCGAATAAAAATGTATACAGGTGTATTTAAGAATATAAACTTTCGTATTCTAGATTATTTTTATCATTTTTTATTAATTTATAAAAATTAAACTATTGTTATTTTATGTACAAGGTATACATATTTTATAATACATTCGAGAAATTCATATATTTTGTACATATGTTTATTTACATATGCAGACTTACAATCCACTTACATTTACAACGAAACGTACAAATTTACCGTCAGCGATACTGCGGACAGTGTTGTTTTATTATTGATCTCGAAATGTCTGCATGACCTATTGCACATAAAAAACAAAATCATTTTTACATAATATTCTTTGGACACTATTATTTATAAACAAAAATATTATCAATTACCTAATTGCAGTTCTATGTATAAAGCTAACATTATTACATGTATGGGAACATCACAATCTGGTCCTTTAGACATCCAAACCTGAGAAAATAAATGTTATTAAAACTGTTTATTCGTTTCTGATATTTGCAGAAAAATTACAAGTTTGGCGATTACCTGTTTTAGGGTTTCTCCAGATTTATCGAGTTCGCCGCGAATTGCATAAGCTACAGCTAGGTTATAACGCAATACAGCGATTCCTGTAGGAACGGTCGTCGGATACCACACTGTAAAGTATAAATGACAGTCGTTAAATAATAATCAATACCCCTACACTAGCATTTTAAAAATAATTCTTACTTTTTATGGGTTTTGATACAACCTCATCACCCTTGTCTTTATCTTTATCTTGCGTCTCGGGAAAAGGTACAAAAGTATTCAAATCTTGAATATTTTCTGGTTTTAGGTATTCAATTGCTTCGCTAATTTTGTCCATAAATATCAAACTTTCTGCTGCATAAAGATTTCCAAGCATTCTATATGCACCAGGTAATTTATTAATATTTAGCAATGATTTAGCATGCTCAAGTGCAATGACATAATCACCAAGGCATAAACAAACATAAGCACTTGCAGCCAAGACACTAATTTTTAAATTTAATGCTTCAACAGCTGTAGCTTGTGACATTAAAGTTGAATGTTGAGGACCTAAAACATTTTGTTCTTAATTACTAAATGTGGTAATGTTGCATACTTGTATTTTGTAAGTGCAAATATTTAATACCTAAATTATGACCAGCCGTTAATGATAAAGGTACCGCCTGCGAGTTAGTAATTGTTGTCATTGGTACATTAAGTTCATTATTATTTGGTAATAAAAATAATGCATTCTTTAGACACAAAGATGCAAATTCTAAAGTTAATTGTGGAATAGCAGAAGGGAAACCTTCTGGATGATATTTTACATCTTTCGAAAGAGAAGAAGCTAAAATAATTTTTCTATAAATTCCAGAACCAACAATTTTTTGTACCAAATCTTTTCTTCGTTTCGGAATATTAAAATCAACCTCATTGGTCTGAAAATGATACGAAAACTGTTTACTTTGTAATACGTAGATAAAATACAAATACAAAATGCACGTACAGGTTTATGACAATAAATACAGCATTCTGCAACCCTTAACCACAGTTTTGGATTATTATGGAGTTTTTGTGCAGCTTCCATGAAACAATCAAATGCGACTGAAGCCTGACCCGCGTGTAATAATGAAACACCTAAACTGTACATTAACTCATAGTGTCGGCTCGCACCAAGCGTATACAGTGGTTGTGTAGATAGAGGATCTAAATGGAAATGATTTCTTCAAACTTTTGATATTCTAAATATTAAACTATAAAAGAATGAGTAGTTTTAAGAATTACCACTATCTTTCATCTGCACACTTTCTAGTGCGCACTCGTTTTCATGTAAAGCCTTTCGTAAGTAAAAACAAGCTAAGTTTGGTTTACCCATAGCAAGATGCAAACAAGCCATGTTATTATAATACAAAACAGCAGAAGACTCTCCACAATTTCTAAACACAATATAAAAGTAACAGAGATGCATTTATTATAATTTATTTAAAATCTTAGTATGTTATTGTATTTAAACAAACAGTGTCTGCAATACCTGCATATACTTTAAAAAGAAGAGATATTATTCTTATATGACAATTTTGCTATTTAACCCTTCTAATTTTACTATTTTAAGATTCTACTATTATATTACTTTATTAATCGTTAACAAGTCCTAGAATTCATTTATGTAAATAGAATAGTAAAATAATAAAATAATAAAACAGTATAATAGCAGTATAGAACTACAATAAAGTAATAAAACAATAAAATGTACAAATAAGGATCCATTTATCCTCTTAGAAAAATATGTACATACACACACACACACAGTTTGTCTAAATATATATAAAGATATAACATACTTGAAATCCAAGTTTTCCGATGTTACAGAGTTTAACAATTTGATAGCTTTTTTGTAATTTCCTCTTAAATATTCAAGATTAGCTTTTAAAAAAACAGTGGATATATTCTGTAAATAAAAAAAAATATAAGTAATAAGATATGGCCAAATAAGTTTAAAAAGAATGGATAAAATATAAAAATATTATCTTACTGCAGGTGTACCCAAAGAAACTAAAGTTTTCCATTCCCTCTTACATAATTTCAATTGATGCATCATAAGATATATTCTAGCTTTACATTTTAACAGTTTTATTTTAAATGCATCTACAGCTGTATCAACTTCTTTTTTCTGCTCTTTTTGTTCTTTTATAGATTTTATTATGCCTTCCTTATCAACAGGTGCAATTTTCGAGTTGTCTGTAGATATAAGTTGACTTTCTATGTAATTAATTAAGGACAAAGCTGCATCAGGTTGTTTTATAGCTATATGCAGCTCTATAAGAAGGAGGCATACTTTGTGCGCTAATGATTCTTCTAGAAAAATAAAATAATGTAAGTACATTAAATATGATTAATTTGATCTTTCATAAAGTTCATTATACAATAGATGTTTTATAATTTTACATACCCATAGGTTCTATAAAAGCAAATAGTCTATTCATAATTTGAAGTGCCGAATTATATTGTTTCGTATGAAATAGCAAAACTGCTTGATTATATCGCATAACACATTTCTCAATATCATCTATTGTTTCCGTTGAATCTGTTGTAGACATTTGTCCACATATTGCGTTCAAACTCTTTCTTAATAACTCTGTCTTTTTCAAGTCATTTTTATAACACTCTACTATAACTTTATTATGCATTACTTTAAGATCTTTTGGTCTTAGGGTTTCTAGTTTATTCAAGTAAGATAAACAACTAGCATATGATCCTTTCTGAAATTCATATAGCGCATTTTGAGCTAATTCACGTTCTTGTTCTGTTATGACCACAGGCCCAATATCTTTATTTTGTACTTCAGATGTCTCAGCCATTTTTATTCGTTAAACAATAATATCTATCATGTCATCACACCTTATCTAGATTCTACAATGTTTTCTCACAACAATTTAATATTTAACTATTTTTTAAAACTTCACATTTGACATTTATAGAGGTTATATCAACGTTAAGCCAGTACAAACAAATATTTGTTTCAAAGAAAATTGAAATATAAAAACAGTATTAAGTTATTATTAATTCAAAATTTCTTATTCATTTAAAATACATTTAAGGCTAAAAGATTGGGCTTTTATATTTCTTATTCTTTTGCCAAACATCGCGACAAGTTAAAATTATACTCTCCTCACAAGAGAATATATTTATTGGAGGTCGGAGAACAAGTTTTCGATTCCTTTGCGCATGTTACCTACGATTGGTCCGAACAAGTTTCGTGACCAAGAGCAACGAGCATGCGTACTTTCATGACACTAAATACATATATCCAGTGATTTTTTAATTTTATATACTTTTTATACATATTCAGGTAAATCTTCAGATTTAGAATTTCAAGATTTGGGAATTTAAGAATTAAAAATTTAGGCATTTAAGAATTTAAAAATCTGAAATGTTGAAAATTTAGAAATTTGGAAGTTTTGAATCCAGAAAATTCTGTTCATATTTTTATCCACCGCATATATAGGGTACGGTGTGAAAAGCTTATAGTAACGGAACAATACTAATTGGTGGAGAGGTCTATTGAAATTAGCTGTATTACGTGAATTAAAATCGTATGAGATACATTTATTTTATACAGGATACTTCATAATATGTGGAATCTATTTCAAAAATGAACGGAGAACATAGAACCAATAAACATAAACATATCTTATTTAACATTCAAAGTTATCGCCATTTTTGTATTTTCATCATTTTCATAGAGGATGTTAAAAAAATATATAATGCTTTGTGTTTTAATCTTTTATACATTTTCAGTGTTCAATTCTCTTGCTAGAAATACTTCATAATTCCCTTACTTGCTATGTATTGAAAGTACATAATAAAATAAATAAAAATGAGTATTATTCAATGTTTACAACATATATGTACAACATACATGTAAATTCAAAAGTGAATATTAAATACTAATAAATTTTGGTGTTAGAAATGTTAATCATGCAGAACAAATTTTGGATCATATTATAGAAAACAATACTTATATACTATACATAGTATACATATAAGTAATAAATTAACTGTATATAATTAATGTAAAATTATACAAAAAAATAATATATATTAGTAAATCTTATTATAATTAATTAAAAATACTGGTTTATCTGTATATTTAGGTCATCCAAAATATTTTTTAAAGGTATTATACACATGAAAATGAAGGCATTGAATATTTTTCAATTCTATTTTATTTCTAAAAATGTTGTTTTGTACATCACTCATGTCCCCTTATAAGTCTTTATATCATAATACATAATCTTACAAATCCTTAAATAATAGATAACGATAAAAATAATTTAATAATATACTTTTTATCCTGTTACTGGTAGTGAGCTAAATAAATATTTAATAACAATGATTATAAAGGTCTTTTTCTTACTTTCTGAATGCACTAAAACTATTCACCTTAAAATACGTGGTATCATTATCGACAAAGTTTTACATTAACCCTCGGAGTATGGCCTATTGTAGCCGGTTCCCAGAGACCCAGTTACCAAAACACGAGGGTTAATAAAATTACACAAAATGTATATTATTATTCATAAGATGTACATCAAAAATTTTTTATTGATTTTGCAGAATTAGGTATACTAATGTTAATAAATTTAAATAAAATTTTATAAACATCCATAATCTTATACAATCAACATTTGAATATTATACATCAATTATTAAATTTTTCATATATAGCATCAAAAAAAAATGTTAATAAAATTTGACTAAAATAATATGTTAAGTAAAATTTGATGCCAATTGATAACTTGTTTCTTTGATTTCTTGTTTTATACTTATTTTTTACGCAAATATAAAATTAATAATATCTAATTATGTATCAATACATTTTGTAATAATTAATTGGAACAAAGGTTTTTATTTTGGCGTATCTTAAACTTTTTTCATGAAACAAATCTATATAAAAGTATACCTATTGTTGCTACAGTTGCTCCTCCAATTAAACTCCATGTAACTTTTGACGAAGTCTTAATTTCATTTTTCCTTTTTGCATCTTTTGATGAAATATTATTATTTTTTTCGTGTGTACCCAACATTTTACGGTACAGATTTTTCTCGTGTTGGGCATCTTTAGCATTTTTTTCTTTCAAAATAGCTAGTTCTGTCTGAATAGCCTTTGTTTCTGGTTCTAATCTTGCCGCTTGAAGCAATGTTTGATATGCTAATGTATGTTCTCCTTTATAATGTAAAATTTTTCCTATAAAAATAAGATGCATTTAATATACAAAGTCTATTATTTTAAGATCTTATTAGTAACTTTACCTTTTCTAAATAATGCTTTTACATTCTGTGGTTGACAACTCAAAACACTTTCTACACTTTTTAAAGCAGCATCATAAGCTTGTGTTTTCATTTGTGCAGCTGCTAAATTATTATATACTTTCATACGGTCTTCTAATAGAGCTTGCAATTCTGCATCAGTAGTGGAATCTTCAATTTCATTTTGATAGGAGCTACGACTTTCTGTTGGTAATAAGAATTCTAGTGCTCTTCGGTAACACTGAATTGCAAGTGTTGGTTCATTACGAGTAAACCACCAATTTCCTCGTTCTCGCTTTTTATTACTTTTAAAAAAGTATTAACATGCATTAACCATATTTTTAAAAATTAGTAACATGTTTATTATTAGTTACCCTATTTCTTTTCTCTGATTGATGCCTAGAGTTTCTATTTCTTCTTCTATCTCAACAGATTTCAGTTCAACTGTATATAAAATAGTAGCATCTGATGGAATGTTTGGTTCCTTTCCAAGCTTGCCGTAAGCAAATCTAGGGTTAACTTCAATTTCTGCAACTTCATCTGTATCCATCAATGCTATTGCCAGATCTAACCCCTATAATCATAGCAGATATCATGAAAATTATTATTTCACTTTTCTTCAGTACTAAAATTCTGTTTTTTCCAATAAAATGTATTTAATATAATTTGTAAGACATGAAGAGAAGCTTGAAAAACTTTTTTATCTTAATATGCAATACCTGAATCACTTCAACATCACCTAATTGAATTTTCAGCTCTTCGTACTCTTCAACTATTGTACCGTCTTGCAACTTTCCAATGATTTTTAAGGTACAAATGTCAGATGTATTTGGTCGTGTTCCATTTTTACCCTTCCTTATAACTTTTTTTCGTAGCTGTCCATTTCCTAAAATATCCATCCATTCTTCAATCGGCTGTTCATTTAAAGCTGCTTTGGTCATTGGATCTTGTGGATCTATATCGAAATTCAACTCCTCTTTAATAAAATCAGCTTGACTTGTCTGCGATTGGACAGGTCCATCTTCCATCTTCAAAAGATTTCAATAAGTTATTAAGCTTCTTTTTAATACAATACAATGCTTAAATTACAATTTAAAATTAAATCACATTCATATATTAACATCATATTAAATTATTAAAAATATAGCTGTAAATAAATTAAAATGGTTAGAAATGTTTATTTGAAAATACCAAATATGTCATGTCTATTAAAAATAAGAATATTGTGTTAGTTATTATAAAAGATATTTAGCAAAAATTATGAAGTAATTGAAATAAAAAATTTTGTATTTTATCTGACATGAACTACACATGTAATGAATATGCAATAGACAGCAGAAAAATGCACACTCATTTGATATATAACGAGAAAAATTTGAAGTAAAACTAAGTATAACTTAATGTTATTGTTTCTTCTTAAATTATAACATAAATGTACATTCAGCTCAAAAGAAAATGATTTTAATTGAAAAATGCATACCATGTTATTTTCAAACGTTTCCACAACCATTAAAAATGGCACGAAATAACACACACAGTATTTTCTATTTATTGTGAAACACGCGATACTAGAGTACTTAGTTTGCCTTATTACTTGAAATAAGTGTTACTGTAATATCGAAAACAATCGATAATCGACTTCTTATCGAATCTCTTGCAATTGATGGTTACGTAAATACGTTCATTTCATTCTTATCGAAACGTAAGTCCCATTTAATCGTTTGATTACACTGTAAAAAATTTATGACCAAAGAAATATTTTTATTGTAATTATATATACGATTAAACTTTGATTAACCTTTACTTCAAATAAATTTTTCCAAAATGTGTAATAAAATTAAGTAACAGAATAATGATTCTTAATATTCAGCGGTATGTTACCTCTACTTCAAATAATTTTTTTGGAACTACTTTTTTCATTGCAAATGAACTACGTTTATCAAACGTTTGTTACTAAATAAAATGAAATAATGATTAATTGTAATAGTTACATTATTGTACATAAGTTTTTTCTTTTAGTATAACATTTAAACATTTAAATATCTTAAATTATAAATAAAATTTGTACAATATTCGTTTTAATTATAACTACAATCTATAAAAATGATTAGATATGAATCAAAATTAAGATATAATCATGCGTGAACGAAACAAATCTACGTATTTTATATTATAATGAAATAAACGTTCATCTTTAAAAATAAAATTTTTCAAAATATTTATAAAGATACGTTCAGATTCAGCGAGCGACTACTTATTTTTTTCCGCTTGGAGAAACTTAACACAAACAAGCCCGGTATTTGTTTATTGAATTTGCTTATCATCGCAACCAAAACGCTCGACATTTAAATAGTCAATATTTTAGGATTCTCAATATTTATTAAGAATATTGCATTGATAACATTTGAATATTGGCATTTATAAATTTGTAGATTTTGAAGTTTGGGAATTTGAAAATTTAGATCTGGTAATTTAGGTATTTGTAGATTCGGTAATTCAAAAATTTGGAATGGCGGAGATTTGACATGTGAAAATTTGATATAAATTCGCTGCATTTTATTTCAGTTTAATAGGTTTAAAATCTATGTTTTTATAATCCAATGTGATTCACAACATTCAGCGGCATTCAATTTTTGTATAACTGTATGATTGTTCGTTAATTGTTACAAAAACAAACTCAAATAAATGTTCTTGACTTCGTTATCTATTCTTGTTCATTTTGTTGAAACGCACCTTTACGCGTGCTATTGAGAAATAAATACGACCAATCGTATAGTCCCACATTTCTAGCTTGTGCGCATGCGCAAGAGATCTAAGTTCCGGCTATGTTCCATTCTGACATAGCACAGTGCAGTCGTTAAGGAGTCTTTGTGTAGTTGGTTTCAATTGAATTAAAATCGGTTTGTCACAATGAAGTCGCTTTTGTTACTAAATTTTTTATTAATCATTTATTGTTCAAGTAGTATCGCTGACGATAAAAAAGGTCCAAAAGTTACAGATAAGGTGAGTAAATGGTTTACGCCGGTATATAGCATTAACAGATGTAATAAAAAAAAATTATTTTTTTCTTAAATACATCAAAGTAAAATTTAATAAAATTAATGTGAAGAGCGATTAAAAAATATATATTACGCTCGTACATAATTTTCTTTGTCTCTTTCACATAAAACGAGCAGTTTTTTAAAATAATTAAATAAAATTAATTAAATTTTAGAATTTATTTAAAATAAAAATAAATTATGAAGAATAATTGAGACTTTATACATTTATCAAATTTTAAAGCAATGAATACATTTCGTTCATATAGGTATGGTTTGACATTAACATAGATGGGAAATATGAGGGTAGAGTTGAAATTGGTCTTTTTGGAAAAACGGTTCCAAAAACAGTTCAGAATTTCATCGAATTAGCCAAAAAACCTCAAGGTGAGGGATATAAAGGAAGCAAATTCCATAGAGTCATTCGGGAGTTCATGATTCAGGGAGGAGATTTTACAAAAGGAGATGGAACTGGAGGTTTGATTTTTATTTTGTTGTAGCTTTTGATATGAATCTTTTAAATTTTATTTCACATTAGTAACTAATAATTATATTAATAAAAACAGTGTAAGAATTTTTTTAACAAATTTTATGATTTATTATTATTGTAACATCATTATGCTATGGTGTTTCAAATATTATAAATGAATTAAATGTGGTTAAATTCTGAATTAATTGTTTTTTAAATTTTATTCTTTAGGACGTAGTATTTATGGAGCTAGGTTTGAGGATGAGAACTTCAAATTGAAGCACTATGGTGCAGGATGGTTGTCCATGGCCAATGCTGGAAAGGACACTAATGGTTCTCAGTTCTTCATTACTGTAAAACAAACTCCATGGCTTGATGGTAGACATGTTGTCTTTGGCAAAGTAATTAAGGGAATGGTATGTTCTATCATCTATATATTTCATAAAATGTTTATCTTGAATTGTTATTATACATAGATAATTTTACAGAATGTAGTAAGAAAAATTGAGAGTGTAAACACTGATACTCGAGATAGACCAACAAAAGATGTTGTAATTGCTGATTGTGGTGCAGAAGTTGTAACAGAACCTTTCAGCGTAACAAAAGAAGATGCAACTGATTAAATATTGTATTCTCTTTTTTATATTAAAAGTCAACCATTTATGATCATTTAGATTAAATGAATAAATTCATTTATTTGGATATATCTATAATTTAATATTTTAAAATTTACTTGAAAACTGCAATATTGAAATGTGTTAAAAATCAATGATCTTCTACCTAATTGCTCAACATATTGTTGCATACAATATTTATGACATGTGTTTTCAATCATATTAAATATGTTGCAAAATTAGGTTTAATTACTTACAAAAATATGAGATTAAAATTTCCATACTGGAATTTGTATTTTAAAATATTAAAAATCGATTCATGTATTTGTAAGTAGACTTTTTATGAACATATAAAAAGCAGAATAAAGAAGCACAAAGTATGTAAGATTGTATCTTACGATCAATTGCTATTTTAGCTTAAGTTTTATAAACATGTATATGCATTTAAAACGTGCAATAATTTTATAAACCTATAATTGCATTTTTTAGCAAATAAAATAAAGTCTTTAGGTAATATACTATCTTCTTGATTTCATTGCCACTTCTATTTATAATATAATTGAAGTATAAGAATGCAATAATATAGTGAAATGTGAATTGTTTAGTAGGTAAGTACATCATGTCATAGAATCTATGTCATGGATAGCTACTTTCTTAGAACAGTATTGCCTTTCACCTTAAAGTTCATGACATTCTCATAGATAAGTTTTCTGTTTGTTTATAAAATGTACGTGTGTCAATAAGTAGATTCGGTTACGATCACGTTTACTTTTATTATACTTCAATAACGAATAAATTAAATATTCGCCGAGAAGCTCATGAGCACGAAAATTTCCAAGATTGTAACTTCTAACAATTTAAATTTAAAAATTTTGAAATTCGCAAATTTTCAAATTGTTACTTTTCACATATTTCAAATTTTAAATTTAAAAATTTTTTTATTTACAAATTTTCTAACTTTCGAAATTTCGATATACAAATTTATAATGGGAGGACCTTTTCCTATATTGTTGGTTCCAAGAGTTTGTCGCTTCTATAGCTTTATTCGTGGGAATATAACGGGAGTATTGTGTACATTTAAGAATAAATTTGGCATCCGTGAGGAAAATGGCAGCTAAGGAGAATAGATCCCTACCACCTACAATAACATCCTTGCGTTGGAATGCGGTATGCTAATTTACGAAAGGCATTTTCAAAGTCTACAAATAATAACGTTTCTGTAACTATGTCTTTACTTTTAAAAGAAAGCTGTTTTATTACGTACTATATGTTTTTGAAAAATGATTCTAGATACTAAATCGGAACACAACGGTTATCATAATTGAATTTTACATTGAAATTTACGCGCATAACAGAAGTACCGCGACAATTTAATGTGAAAAGAAGATGCAAAAGGCAGTAGTTTATTTTAAGATAATTAATTTAAAAATTTGACAAAATTTTGAATGCCTCATTACTTGTATTTTAAAATATCGTTATGCGCACTGTCTGCAAATATGGCTACTGTGCATCGTGCGCGAAGAGGACTAACAAAGGTAGAATACGGAGGATCTCTTGAAGATAACTTCGACAGGTTGTATCAAGAGTTGCTTCCTCCGCCGAAAGTCTGATCGGTAAAGCAAGTCTCTTGTCCGCTACAAAACAATACAGCAAGCGCTATCTAGCAGTGAAGTGCTAAACTATTAAAACAAAAATGGCTTTTTTGTAAAATGAAGTATTTTTACTTTGTTGATATTAGCATATCTTTCGGCGAAACTTCGGAATGCCGTTAAGTTCCGATTCTTTCCAAATGCAAATAAACTCTTTTTTGCAAAAGATATCTGTGAGAATGGTCTTTGGCGACTCGGATGAAAAACTTTTACCATTGCAATGTTATTCTCCATATTACCGATGTGACACAGTGCAGTGTGCGAACTATTCTGAATGCATAATCCGCATCTTCGAAGGCAATATATTGCAAGCAGCATTTCATGTTAATAGTATGTAGTACATTAGCAGTACTCAGTATTACTGCCTCTACCAAAAACTACACCAAACTTACGCAGTCAGTATTAGCGTCTAAATAGCATATTGTATGTACATTAACAGTGTTCAGTACAACTACATGAATTTTATTTATTATACATAACATTACTTTCAGAATATGCTAAAAGTTTTTCGCCTACAGTTATCGACACATTCGATTTTATACTGAAATTGAATCTGTAGATAAAGAAGAATTTTAAAATTGCCATATTGATTGGAACTGACCTTAAATTACAGAACCCTTAGTGTTTGTAATTAAAAATGAAAATACTGGTGGATATTTTTTATTTGAAACGCTAACAAAGGGGTGAAAGCTAAGAAAGAAACATGAATTTCAATATAAAGTATAATAACTTAACGAACAATTGCTCAAAAATTTTAAATTAGGTCTCTTCGATTGAGGCGCTCCGCGTCTAACCTAACAGTGTTGAGCGAGCGAGTAAATTTCACGCTAAAGCAAAAATAGTCAACCGTGTCATCCGGTTGAATTGGTTGAATGGTGCAAGAGAAAAACGTGGACAAAAAAGTTGAAAACTCAAGCACATAAGCGCGGGCAAATTTAATTTTGCATTAAAGTCTACGGGGATATGGTTTTTCGGTGATTATTCTTCCATCGCATGCGCGAGCAGCGCGCTGGAGGAATATATACGATAATGAGTATGCAAAATCGTTAATTACTCACTTTTTGAGCACAGTCTATGAACATTTATGATTAAAAAATGTTCAGTGATTCCCTAACTACTTTCTCATATCACATATGTTCACATTTTTATTGTAAATAATTAGTTATTAATTAATATCTTACACGAAGTCGGCGAAATACATCGTACGCATGAGCTAATTTGAAATAATTAACACATTTTCTAAACACAATTTATGCACTTTTATTATAAAAGAATGTTCAGCGATTCCTCAGCTATTTTCTCGTATCATATTTGTTCAGATTTTTAATGAAATTAATTAGTTATTGACCAGTAACCAAAGGCCAGCCACGGTGACAAGTGGTATACACGAGGTCATTTTGAATAATTAATTACACGATTTGTGGACATATTTTGTGCACTTTTATGATTGAAGAATGGTCAGAAATGCATTATTTACATGGTTCGATCACAAAAGTCCATAAATAATGTTCGGGTAATGCGTAATTAATTATTTTGTGTGAGCATTGCGATACATACATGAGCCGCCTATGTCAATTCTACTGTGCATGCAAAGCGCAATATGTGCATGCAAAGTGCAATATTTCGGCACTTTGACGACATAGTAGGGTTCCTGAGGCATTTAGAAACGAATTTCTATTAGCGTTTGATGCGTTTTAATGCTTAATAAAGCCAAAAAATCAATTCTTGTAAAATTAGGTCCAAAACGGTACAGGTGGCGCCATCTAGCGGCGAGCGGCAGAACTACGAAAAACTAAAATTTCGATTTTTCTCCGAAATTAGGCAAATTTACGTATTTCTGAGGGTCAGAAAGTGATATGTGATCGCATTAGAAGCAAAACAAAGCAATAAATGTTTCCTGAAAGCTTTAATAAAGAAAATAAAGAAAATGTCATTTTATGGATATAGAGAGTGTTTTTCTATATTTAAAATAGTCAATTAATTAATACTTTCAAAAATAACTGATTTATTGAAATTGATTTTGAAATATGTCCTTTTGAATTCAGATTTGATTAAGGAATGAATAACGAACGATTTGCTTTTTAAAACACAATTGAACATAAATAAAATTGAATATCAAATACAAATAAAATTCTTCTTATTGACGGCTTGAAAAAAGAATTCCTCTTGATCGACGACAACTCCGACGATCACCACATTTTCGGTTCAATTGATTTGATGTAACTATTTTTATTAGTTTAATTGATTATAATATGAAATGAATTACGTCGTAGTGCAAGATCAATTAACTTCGAATTGTTTTGACTTCACCAAATTATTGTTAATGTTTAACCATTCTTAGGCTAATCCTAATTACCCTAAGGGTTTTTGTGTAATTACCCTAAGGCTTTTTGTCGCATGATCCGCAATCTCGCGGTGAATGGTGAGAACTAATTAAACTACAGTTTCAAAAGTGTGTAGTTCACCTTACCCGCCAGAGAGATGGCGCCACTTGTTCTATTTTCGTAAAAAAATTCAATTAATAACGATTTTATGGATTAATACGCTATATATTTATTATGCATTTACTAATATTGATTTTTTGCTGTTTGTAATATATCCCGTGAGACTGAAGATGCGGATTACGTGTTCAGAAAAATTCATACACTATATTGTATCCCGTCAATGATATAGGAAATGATATAAAAATGGCAAACAATTTTCTTTCGAGTCGTCAAGAACAATTCTCTCAAATATTTTTCTTTGCAAAACAGAGCTTATGTGCATAATTTGATCGATATAGGAGAATAACGGTTTTCCGAAAATTCACCCATAATTTAAACGCAAAAATTGAATATTTCTTACGCGAAAACGGGAGTCCCCTTTTATTGGCTCCGTCGTGCGTAGCCATGTGACGCACGCGCTGTTCTCAGCGCGCGAATGAATATAAATTTAAAAAACATTATGGAACTTACAAATTTCAGGAACTACGTATTTTTAGATTTTGAGAGTTTGGAACTTTTCAACTTTGATACATTAAAACTTTAAAATTTTGAAACGTCGATACTTTGAATCTTTTGAAACTTTATATTTTGAAACTCTAGAACTTTGAAACTTAGGGATTATCAAACATTTCACAATTTTAAGAATTTGAAAATTTGACACTTTGGAAAATGTGCATTCTGCTAAATAAGTCTCCAGAAAATTTCTGTAGAACCCTTTCATGCAATACTAAATTTAGATATGCTCGATATTTAAGTGAAGTAAAGTCAGTTTAAATTAGTATAAATTAAAGACAATACGATTGTTAATAAATGTTTATGAAGCAGATCTCTGTAACTACAGTTATATAATATGGTGACATTTGATATGTAACAGGTTAATCACCAGGTTCTTATTCAAGAAAATTCATCTTCTGTAAACATTATTTCAACGTATGTTATGTGTACACAAAAAATGTAGGAAAAATGCAAATGTAATGAGACATATGCCGCATGACGTACCGAATGATTATGCAATTTTGGAAAACATGTTGTTATGTTACTGTACATTGGTATTACATGAGTGTTCCATCATTAATGGAATAATCGTGGAAATTAAAATGTAATTCGAGATCATCGCTATATAATGCAAGGAAGAAAAATTTTTTCTCATTATACGATGGTACACTAAGCCATAATGAATCTTTAAGATGCATCTTGCTTTTCCTTATTATTCGCATTTTTTTAAATGAACCTTTAAAATTTTTCATGAGTACTGTTAGTTGTTAACAATGTCGGTGACTACTTGGCTCATACCGGAAATTTTGAGCGCCGTGATTATCGGAACGATTGGATTATATGTTTATTTCAAATTATTCATATTTAATTTCTGGCGCAAGAGGGGTGTGTTTTACGTGGAACCTACTTTTCCAACTGGAAATATATTGCCACTTGTTCTGGGGACGAGATCTCAAGGTAAATAAAAAATGAAAGATATAATATTTTACTTAGGCGTTAATTTAAGTGTATGCAATTTGATTTTTTGCATCGCATTAAATTATCCTGAGGGGATGGTTAAGATATGAATTTATATGATTAATTTAAAAGTTGCAAAATTTATATGGTTGAAACATAAGTTGCAAATTTATATGGTTAAAGTTAAAGTTGCAAATTTACATAGTTAAAGTAAAAGTTGCAAATTTATATGGTGAAAGTAAAACTTACAAATTTATATAGCTATGGTAAAAGTTATAAATTTATATGTTTAAGGCATAAATTGTAAATTTATATGGTTGAGACAGAAGTCGTAAATTAATATGGTTAAGACAGAAGTCGTAAATTTTTTCAAAAACTAGAATATTTAAAAAAATAGAAACAATACATATAGTGATATATTTGTCACTATACATATAGCGAAGCCGTGAAACATCTCGATTATGATATAACAGCATTTACTTTTTCTCAGAAATCAAAGTATAGACTCAATTGTGATATAACGAGGTTGTAAGAGGTCAAAATATTATTATGTCACTCTTCACCGTGACATAATAATAACTTGATCACAATACGTCAAAATGGCTTACTTCAAGTTGATTGGTTTTAAAAAATTTTTCGAAGTGAATTTTTAAAAAATTTTATATGGACCTTTGTAAATATAAAAATAGTTGTAATACGTGCTTTACCTTATATTTACCTTCGTATTTCATTTTTTATATAAGGTAAAGTGGGGTAAGTTCGTAAACGGGACAAGTGCGTATACAGGCTATTTTTATTACAATATGAGCGAAATTTCTCCATTTAGTATGTTTGTTTTCTTGTTTTGTTTCACTATATGTCCTTTTATATTTCAGCTAAGAGTACTTGTTTGAAGTATAGAGTACTTGCATAATGCAGTAAAAAACATTTTATAGCAGATTTGTTAATAATTCTGTTCTTGCCCCATTGCACATAAAATAAAGTTTCAAAGTATTTAACTTCAAGTTACGCTCTTACCCCATTTTCGGGGAAAGTGCAGAGTAGTTGACATTTTAAACAATTTCTAATCAAAATCAAAATGCACAAGGAAAATTAAGGTTCTAGTTAATATTAATTAAATAGTAGTAATTGTGCAAAGCGTTCGATATCGACAGCGTTAAATATTTACATAGCAGACTTACGTATGAGTTACGTGCAAAAAATACTTACGTTTAAATATCAACTTTACAAAAACCAGTCTGCACTTACCTCGCTTCACTTTAAAAGTAAAACGTGTTGTATTATGATTATAGCCGGGACTTGAAAGTGTTAAAATTTTGTGGAGACATCTGCTTGAAAGAGTGATAAGCACACCTGCATTCGACAACTAACGTCAAAGAAAAATATTAACAACTAAAATTTTATAAAAATATCTTTTCTACAGAAAAAATTATTCTTTTCTACAAAAAAAATAGAAAGTTCTTAAAAAAAACATCAAATTAAAAATAGTTTGCTCAATTATTGTTAATGTGCTTACAGTTTAGTTAATTATTGATTATCAATAAGGAAATTGTTATTTTCAGCTGAATTTACCAAAGACATTTACGATGATACCAAAAAGCATCGTGTTACCGGGATATTTATGTTCAACAAACCATTCTTGGTAGTGAACGATCTAGATTTGATTAGAAACGTGTTAACGAAAGATTTTATGAGCTTCCATGATCGTGGAATATTCTGCAACGAGAAAACAGATCCCCTTTCCGGTCATTTGTTTCAATTACCAGGGAAGAAATGGAGAAATTTACGGGTGAAATTAACGCCAACATTTACATCGGGAAAGCTCAAATCAATATTTCCAGTTTTGCAAGAAAGTGGAGACAAGTTGAGCAAATATTTGGACGATAAAGCAAGCGTCAGAGGAGTAATTGATGTGAAAGACGTTTTCGCGATGTAAGTATTATTAGGAAAACATTAACTTAATATAATATTAATATAATATTTAAATATTTAACACACCTAAAATGTTTATTATACTTTTTGCTTGTCAATAATTCTATGCTGAAAGAGTACCAACCCTTAAAATTAGAATCGAGAGTTTAAATGATTGTTTCATTACTATCAGTTGTATGAAAAAAATGTAAAAAGTAAATTGTGCCTTTCTGAATAACAAATTTTATGAATTTTCAAAAATTTGATTTCTTCAAAAAATAAATTACTTTCAAAATTGATCGTTTATTAGCATCTTCATTTATCTTTCCCTAGGTATTCCGTAGACATCATAATGTCAGCAGCGTTTGGAATAACGTGCGATAGCTTTAAAAATCCGAACAATGAGTTTAATTATTGGGGTAAAAAAGTGTTCGAGCCTAAACCATTCTGGAATGCGGTTGTTATATGGGCTCCGCAGGTGCTGGATCTACTTTCTCTGCCCTTCAACGAAAGGGGCGTTACAAACTTTTTTTTAAAAATGTTTGAGGACACAGTTACATATAGAGAGAACAACAACATTGTCAGGAAAGACTTCTTAAACTTGCTGATACAGTTAATGAAGAATGGATACGTCGACTCTGATGAAAAATCAGACGAACTGACCCTGATGAAAAATCGGACGAACCGAATGTCATGAGTAATTATTATTACAAATATTTATTTACTCTTTTGACGTCTTGTTAGACTTGAGGCTTCTCTTAGTTATAGGTAATTAATAGGGAAAGAAGCATTTTTAATTTGGAAGAATTTAAGAACCCAGGGAGATCTCAGGGAGGTCCCAAAAGCACTTAGAAAGAACTCCCGTTCTGTTAACTAAAAGAATCCTAAATTGACTAGAAAGAATTTTTAAATAACTATTTGTGAAAAATTAAATCTAAATTATGATTAATTTTTCAGAAACGACGGAAACTAAATTGACAATGACAGAAGCTGCGGCACAAGCATTTGTCTTTTATTTAGCTGGGTTCGAAACGTCTTCAACGACGGTAACTTTCTGTTTATACGAATTGGCAATGCATCAAGATATACAGGATAAAGTTCGAGAAGAAATCCGGACCGTTTTGAAGAAACACGGTGAATTATCTTACAATGCCGTGAATGACATGCCATATCTTCACAAAGTGGTTTCAGGTTTGTATCTTCTTTCAAACAATTCATCAACAAAATATAAAATATTTTCACAGTGAAAATATCAATTTATTTTAAACGGTATAATCAAGTTCATTTCTACAAATAGAATTGTATACTGTTTTCTTTTATATCATGTGATAGTAAATTTCAAGACGAATTCAGTGATATATGATACATATATATTTTGTCAATTATATTGTGCTTATAAAGCGTGTAAAAAATGTACAGCGGAAGTCCGAGGGAGATTCTCAGAGTCCGCCATTGAAATAACGTCACGTGTATCATTTGTAGTGTGACTGTACAGCTTTCATATGAATGATTTCTACTGTTTTTTCACTACTCAATTAAACAATAGTCATCATTTTGTGAAGAAAACTTTTCAAAAAATTTTTAAATATATCATCTGAATGAGGTTATATTTGTTATATACTAGGTTTATTTCTATTTTTCAGAAACATTGAGGAAGTATCCTCCAGTAGTTTTCCTAAATCGTATTTGTACAAAAGATATACAAATAGAAACAACTGATTTTCATATACCTACGGGAACTTCTATATTGATACCTGTGTTTGGTATTCATCGGGATCCTGACATATATCCAGATCCTGATAAATTTGATCCAGAAAGATTCTCGGAAGAGAATGTGAAGGCTAGACATCCTTATGCTTATTTACCATTTGGCGAAGGACCGAGGATTTGTATCGGTGAGTTAAAAAAGAACAATAATACCTTCAATTATTATACCAGGCATGCTATTCGTAAGTAATGAATATTTGTTGCAATAGTGATTATTGTGAAACATATATCACAGTTTTATTTAAGTTAAAAGATGTTCCTTATTTTGTTACAGGATTAAGATTTGGTCTGATACAAACAAAAGTTGGGATAATAAGAAGTTTATTCAAAAATAGATTCAAACTTGCACCAAATACACCAACTTCTTTGGAATTTAAAGAAGGGTCTTTAATATTAATGGCAAAAGGAGGTGTAAACTTAACAATCGAATCAGTGGAATAATTGAAGCGTTAAATAATTTTATATAATTGAAGAATTGTTATATTGTCTGTTAATACTGTTGTACTTACTGAAATATGGCAGTGTATTATTGAATGAATTTTTCTAATGAAATTTATCTAAATTTATTCTGTATTAGAAATTCTTGAAAATTTGAAGACTTTTACAAAAAGTACATAAATCTTTACAACTCTACAATTACTTTTTAACTATATCAGAAAGAACAATACTACTATAATAATAACTATAATAGAATAATAATACTAATTTCTTAAGCAAGGATCAGGGAAGGCAAAGAGAAAGTGTACAAAGAAAGCCTGTACCATTTCAACAATGTTTTATTTCGCTGTCTAATATCTGGAATATAACAATATTACATTACTCCTGAAAGAAGGTAACAAGTAGATTCCACTAAAACGTCCAAACTGAAGGAACCTAGTACCGGTACCCTTTGAGGTCCAAACTGTCAGATGGCAAAGCATTGGCTAAGCTCAGCAACTGTGAACGTTGGAGTTCGCTGGGATAATGGAGTGCAGTTTCTTCGAGTGCACCAAGCCCATGAAGCCTGCTGGGTCCACGCAGGCCACCAGCATCATGAAGTGCACTGCCACCACGCAGTCCCTCAGCATCATGAAGCACGCTTGATGCCAAAAGACTGCTGGGTTCATGAAGAGCACTGGGTGCAAGAAGGGCAGATTCACGAAGTGGTCCATGGGATTCCAGCACAGCTGACTCACGATGCAGAGTTTGTTCAGGGTAATGGGGAACGGGGGCTGGTGCCACTGGCTCATGTGCCAAAAGCGCAGAGTTGCCAGCATGGTCGGCCACATGCGCAGTCGCAGCCGCGGTGGCGGCTTTTTGAGCGACTGCTTGAGTAGTTTCGTAATCCAGACTTACCGCGGAAAGTTGTTCATCGACGGATTCCGCCTTCGCCTTGGCCTGGCCCACCATGGTCGTCTGGGCAGCCAGTTCGGCTTCAGCTTCGGCCGCAGCTTGCGCAGCTCGGTCGGCCGTTGTCTGTGCAGCCAGTTCGGCTTCAACTTCGGCCGCAGTTTGCGCAGCTCTGTTGACCGTGGCCTGGGCAGCGTACAAAGCTGCTGTGATCACTTGTTCTTGACGCAGAGCTTGCTTGACGCTGCTTCTCGCCGCGCTCACGGCTGTTTCAGCCTGTTGCAATTGCAATTTCTCATTGTCCACCGCTGCGTGGGCGTCTTTGGCCTGTTGCTCCAATTCCTGCACTACGATCTGTTTACATATTAGTTACATATTAGTTTGTAGTAGTAGCCTATCATTTTTATTGTCAGTTGCTTTAAACTTAAAAGAAAGTTCTACCAACTTTCTTGTTTTACCCTTTTCCTTAATTAGTTTTACATTATACGAGTGTAATTTTAGAACAAAAGGCACATTTAGGGGGCTTTTAGTATTGTAGTATTCGTAAATGTGTGAAAATGTGAGTACAAGATGCAGGACCTATTTAGATTAAGAGTTTTTCTAATTCTGAATGATTTTATTTTTCGAAATATTTCAGGACTTTATGCTACTTTATTTCTTGCTTCGAAGTTTTCATGTCTCTCCTCTATTTCATTTCTACTACTATATTATTTTGTTATTTAATTGATTTTTAATACGCCTTTTACTTTCATATCTTGCGTGAATATTATTTCGAGTTTCGAAGTTTTTGGATCGCCTTGCGGTTTCATTTCAAATCTCAGGTTCTTTATCTTTCCAAGATTTTATTTTTGGAACTGAGATTTTTAATGTTTCGTTTTTGTCTTCACTACTTTTGTCTGTGACAGGTTTTATTTTCAAGGACATAATTTTTAATGTTTCATATTTATCTTAATTACTTTTTTATATTACAGGTTTTAATTTTATGTAAGTAATTTTTAATGTTTCATATTTGTCTTAATTATTTTTGTATGTTGCGGGTGTTAATTTTATGTAAGTAATTTATTTATTCATATGTGTCTTAATTGTATTTATATGTTTCAGGTTTTTATTTTAACGATTCATGTTTGTCTTAATTTTATTCGGATGTTTCAGGTTTTTATTTTAATAATTCGTGTTTGTCTTAATTTCGTTCAGATGTTTCAGGTTCTTATTTTAATTCAGTTAATATAGCTATTTTTATTACTTTAATTGACTATAATTTGAAATGAATGATGTCGTAATGCAAGACCAATTAACTTCGAATTGTTTTGACTTCTCCAAATTATTATCAATGTTCAACCATTCTTAGGCTAATCCTAATTACCCTAAGGGTTTTTATTCCATGATTCGCCATCTAGCAGTGAATGGAAAGAACTAATTAAACTACAGTTTCAAAAGTATGTAGTTCACCCTGTTCGCCGGAGAGATGGCGCCACTTTTTTCCCATTTTAGTAAAAATTCAATTAATATCGATTTTGTTGATTAACATGCTATATATTTATGATGTATTTATTACTATTGATTTTGTGTTGTTTGCAATATATTCCGTTGATCCGAAGATATGGATTACGTGCTACGAAAAATTCACACACTACATTGTATTTCGTCGATGGTATAGGAAATGACATAAAAATAGCAAACAATTTTCTTTCGAGTCATCAAAAACAATTCTCTTACATATCTTCCTTTGCAAAAAAGAGTTGATTTGCATAATTTGAACGGTATTGGAGCATGACCGTTTTCCAAAGATTTACCCATAGTTTAAATGCAAAAATTCAGTATTTCTTACGCGAAAAGGGGATTCCTCTGTTATGGGCTCTGTCGTGCGCAGCCACGTGAGGCATGCGCTCTTCTCAGCGCGCGAATTAATATGAATTTAAAAAACATTATGAAACTTACAAATTTTGGGATCTATGCATTTTTAGATTTTGAGAGTTTGGAACTTTTGAATTTTGAAATTTTGAAACGTCGATACTTTGAATCTTTTGAAACTTTATATTTTAAAACTCTAGAGCTTTGAAACTCAGGGATTATTAAGCGTTTCATAATTTTAAGAATTTGGAAATTTTACACTGGAAAATATAGCTTAATTTGTTTCTAGAAAATTTCCGTAGAACCCTTTCATGCAATACTAAATTTAGATATGCTCGATATTTAAGTGAAGTAGAATTAGTTTAAATTAGTATAAATTAAAGACTATACGATTGTTAATAAATATTTATGAAGCAGATCTCTGTAATTACAGTTATATAATATGGTGACATTGGATATGTGACAGGTTAAACACCAGGTTCATATTCAAGAAAGTTCATTTTCAGTAAACATTGTTACAATGTATGTTATGCGTACACAAAAAATGTAAAAAAAATGCAAATGTAATGAGACACGTGCCGCATGATGTACCGAATGATTATGCAATTTTAGAAAAAATGTGATTAAGTTTTTGTATACTGGTATTACATGAATGCTCATCCATTAATGGAATAGTCGTGGAAATTAAAATGTAATTCGAGATCATTGCTATATAATGCAAGGAAGAGAAATTTTTTCTCATTATACGATGGTACACTAAGCCATAATGAATCTTTAAGACGCATCTTGCTTTTTCTTATTATTCGCATTTTTTTAAATGAACCTTTAAAATTTGTCATGAGTGCTGTTAGTTGTTAACGATGTCGGTGACCACTTGGCTCATACCGGAAATTTTGAGCGCCGTGATTATCGGAACGATTGGATTATATGTTTATTTCAAATTATTCATATTTAATTTCTGGCGCAAGAGGGGTGTGTTTTACGTGGAACCTACTTTTCCAACGGGAAATATATTGCCGCTTATTCTGGGGACGCGATCTCAAGGTAAATAAAAAATGAAAAATATAATATTTTACTTAGGTGTTAATTTAAGTGTGTGCTATTTGATTTTTTTCATTGCATTAAATTATCGTGAAAATATGGTTAAGATATGAATTTATATGGTTAATTTAAAAGTTGCAAAATTTATATGGTTGAGACATAAGTTGCAAATTTATAAAGACAAAAGTCGTAAACTTTTTCAGAAACTAGAATATTCAAAAAGTAGAAACAGTACATGTGGTGATATACATATTTGTCACGATATAGCGAAGTCGTGAAACATCTCAGTTATGATATAACAGCATTTACTATATCTTAGAAATCCAAGTGTTGTCTCAATTGCGATGTAACAAGGTTGCAAGAGATCAAAATATTATTATGCCACCCTTCACCGTGACATAACAATAGCTTGATCATAATACGACAAATGGCTTACTTCAAGTTACTTGGTTTGAGTTAAAGAATTCTTTAAAGTGAATTTTTTACATATTTTGTATGAGCTTTTGTAAATATAAAAACAGTTGTAATATTTCGTGCTTTACCTTAAAATTGACCTTTGTACTTCATTTTTTATTTAAAAGTAAACGTGTTAAATTGTGATTATAGCCTGGCTTCATTAATTCAATTTTTGTGGAGTCATCTGCTTAAAAGAATGATAAACACACCTGTATTCGACAACTAACGTCAAAGAAAAATATTAACAACTAAAATTTTATAAAAATATCTTTTCTACAGAAAAAATTAGAAATTTCTTAAAAAAAAATATTAAATTAAAATTTACTGAATTATTGTTAATTTGCTTACAGTTTAGTTAATTATTAATTAATAATAACGAAATTGTTATTTTCAGCTAAATTTACCAAAGACATTTACGATGATACCAAAAAGCATCGTGTTACCGGGATATTTATGTTCAACAAACCATTCTTGGTAGTGAACGATCTAGATTTGATTAGAAACGTGTTAACGAAAAATTTTATGAGTTTCCACGACCGTGGAATATTCTGCAATGAGAAAACAGATCCCCTTTCCGGGAATTTGTTGCAATTACCAGGGAAGAAATGGAGATATTTAAGGGTGAAATTAACGCCAACATTTACATCGGGAAAGCTCAAATCAATATTTCCAGTTTTGCAAGAAAGTGGAGAAAAGTTGAGTAAATATTTGGACGATAAAGCAAGCGTCAGAGGAATAATTGATGTGAAAGACGTTTTCGCGAT